AGATCCTCGACTGCCTTGGAGCTCGAATGGGACGGGGCATAGCCTCGCATAGGGCGCGACGTGGACGATCTGAGGCCAAGGCCTCGAGTACGTTGGGCGTACTCGCGTGACTCAGCCTTCGGATAATACCGAAGTTTTCATTAAATTTTATATATTTATTATTTAATAAACTTCAAAAATTCATATCTTCGTTTTTTAAAAGGTCGCGTGACTCAGCTTTCGTTTAGATCCCGTCGGCAAATTTTGAAATTATTTTTATTATTTATTTTTAAAAGGTCGCGGTAAGAAAATTTCTTTAAAAATTCATAACTTCATTATCTGACGCCTGTTTTTGCCAGACTTTTTACCGTTGAAAAACCATTGACGAGACCTTCGATTCTCGTTTAGGTCATTCTGGTCAAAAGTTGCTCGATCTCTGTTTCGAGTTTTTAGCTGTCCGTTGCTAAGCCGAACTTGGAAAATTCCTAACTTTCTTATACGAAGTCAGATTTGGGCGTTCTTTTTACGTACGATCACGGTTTAATGACATCTAACATAATAGGTAATTTAATTAGTGATTTTTGGATATTTTATTTTCGAAGTTAATTTTATTATAACGAACGTGATTACAATACTTGACTTTTTAGGTTGTTTACATATAGTTGAAATATAAGGTTGTCACAGTTGTTTTTTTTAGTACAAGAAATACCATTAAAGTATACTTTTTATACATAACGAAGTACACATGTTCAAATACAACCTTATGGTAACAGGTTACTTCAAATAAACGGAAAAATGAGTTAAAAGTGTAATAAAGTTTTCAAAATGTTCAAAATATATCATTGTTTTTTTAGTACAAAAAATATCAATGTAGTATCCTATTTGTACACATAATACTAATGAAGTACACATTTTAATACAAAAAATGTCATTGAAGTTTCCAAAATGTTCAAACAATATCATTATTGTTTTTTCAGAACACTTTTTGTTAACCACATTGTTGTCGGATTATGTAAAACACGGTCATCGGAGATCATGCATGCACCGTGATATCAGTTCACAACAGTTTGCACTCTTTTTTATTCCCTCACTCGATCGTTCTTGCGGTAACATGAGAAGTAAGTGGGTAAAAGAGAAACAGGATTTTTTAAATGTGGATGTAGAGATTATGAGTTGCTTTTAATTCTTCCGGACCGATGAGGGATGAATGGTCAGCAACACCCAGCGTCATGTGGTTGAGTTGATGATTTGTACTCAAAGTAGAGAAGAGAAGCATATGTGTTGGAGCACTTGAACGACTTGCATCCTAATCGATAAATTCTTAGTTGTGTTTTTCTATGATAGTATTTGGATACAAACCAATCGAATGAGAGAATGAAAGAGAGTGCACAACCGGTGTGAAATGGTATGACGGTAAATGTTCTTCGGTGACTGTGTTCTATATAATACGGAAACAACGAAGTTAACAAAAAGTGCTCTGAAAAAACAACAATGATATTTTTTTTTGAATATTTTGGAAACTTCGATGGTATTTTTTTTGTACTAAAATATGTACTTTGTTGGCATTTTGTGTACAAATTGTATACTTCAATGATAGTTTTTATACTAAAAAATTAATGGAATTTTTTTAACATTTTGGAAACTTCATTACTCTTTTAAATCATTTTTCGTTTATCAAAGTTTTATTTGAACACATGTATACTTCGTTGGTATTTTTGTACAAATTGTATGCTTCAATGATAGTTTTTATACTAAAAAATCAATGGAATTTTTTAAACATTTTGGAAACTTCGTTACCCTTTTAAATCATTTTTTGTTTATCAAAGTTTTATTTGAACACATGTATACTTCGTTGGTATTTTTTGAACATTGTGAAAACTTTGGTACCTATTTAAGTCATTTTCCCTTTATATTTTGAATATTTAATATTTTTATTTAATAAATATTTTTTTTTGAACGACAAATATAACCTACTCCTATTATATTACTCATAAATTCATCTGTCACTTACGAGACTTGAACCTACAACCTTAAGGAGAGAGGGCAACACCTAATACCGTTAGGCTATAAATCCTTTGATAAATAAAATATAAAATATATTTTTACTTAAATAATTAATGTAATTTGGTTTGGTCTAAACTTCATGAGACCAAAAACCAAATTCAAAATTCGGTTCGGCCTCGAACCAAACCAAAAACGAATTTGAATATGGTTTGGCCTAAAATCAATTTCGGTTCGAATTGGTTTACGGGTTTTTCGGTTCCAAACCAAATAATTCCCACTCCGACGGCTACTATTGAGTGTCAAATTCTATGATATATTATGTTAGCCTATTAGTTAAGTTTGCTGAGAAAAAAAAAAAAACACATTCAATTGATCATACCTTTTTGCACTTTGCGTAAATGTGTAACATGCAAATTTCCTCAAACAATGACTAGCCACCTATTATTTCATTGTATCCAAAAAAATAACCAAGAACCATACTTACTGCTTTCTATCAAAGTAAAAAACTTCACATGAATTCACCGATCGCTCACTCAAAATTGTATGTCTTCACCCCATCTGAATCGATACAGCTTCAAGACTTGATAATGCTTCATGGCTCTCTACCTCTCTGTTCAACATTATATAAACCCAGTTAAACTCAACAAATAATATCCTTAAAACCCACATAATACCAATGTACATCATTTTTCACCCATAATAGCAATGTACTTACATTTTATTTTACCAAAATTATGTAACCCATAATAACAAATTACTTACAATTCTTTTTACATAATACCAACATACTTACAATTCCTTACCTATACTTTCATTTCTTTACCAATCAATTATTGCAATAACTAACATATAAACTACATTGCCTTTATTGGTACCAAAAATGCAACAACATTGGTATTATGGGCAAAAAATAATAACAATAATAATAAGTAGGTTGCGAATATTGGTAAAAAGTCCCTAATAAATTTGAAAGAGAGAACACATACTTGCATGTCTTTTTGTTGTGACCCAAACCCTTGCATTTACTACACTGCATCTGCCTTCTAATCAGCTCAAGTGACCCCGCCTGTTTGAGCTTTGCCCGCCTACCTGGCTTGCCAGGCGGACGTTTAGCAGGAGGAGGTGTGACAACAACAACCGCCACATCATCACCATCTACCGGATGTTGACCTCCTTCCACATCAGGTATCGGATAAATGGACTCCGCATACGTTTTCCTATAACTCTCGGCCATAAAATACCTGGAACAATAATCATACACGCTTCTACCAATACACTCAAAAACCGCAATCGCATGACAGCATGGCAGTCCAGTCAGCTGCCAGCCTCTACAGCTACAATCCCATTGAGTGATGTCAACTATCTCAACAACACCTTCACCATGCACCTCAAACACACTGCTCTCTGATGGCAACACCTGAAACATTCGCGCTTTTGAAGCTTCTGTTTTAAGCTTTTCCTCCATTGATGGAGTCAAAGTTGTAGTCCATCTGTTTGAGTCGACTCGTCTTTTATAAATCAACTCCATTAATTTCCCTCTTAATAAATCGATCATGTGGGTGATTGGTAACTCAACAGCTTCAGAGACCCAGCTATAAAACAGCTGTCCGAAATTAGATGTGATATGATTATATCGTGTTCCATCAAAGAACACATTCGCCCAATGCTGTGGCTCACTATTGAGCACCCAATCGTATGCTTCGGGTGAAATTGCTTTTATGTCTTGAACACATTGTTCAAAAGCTTCAATCTTTGGTGCGTAGGCTGCAGCGTATAGATCTTGAACCATTAAACGTCTCGCTTCGTGTGAAAATCTTGTTTTTAAATCGTTGTTGAGTTTTTCAGAAACGTATCGAAGACAGTATCCGTGAAAGCACTCGTTCCCAAAGACCTTGACGATTGACTCTTTTAACCCCGGGTTGAAATTCGCAACGAATGTGATGGGTTGAGATATGGGAACGCAAGATTTCAATTGGGATAAAAACCAAAACCAATTATCATCATCGTTTTCATCATCAACAACAGCAAAAGCTAGAGGGAAAACACCATCATCGCCATCTGCTGAAGTAACAATTAATAAAGTCCCTTGATATTTCGCATCGAGCGGGATGTCATCTAGAAAAAGCAAAGGGCGACACCCTTGTTGAAACCCTAAAATAGACGCGTGAAACGAGACAAAAAAACGATGGAAACTTGAATCCGGTTTTGTGTCGAATGTAGCTAAGCTACCCGGATTTGTTTCCATTATTTTTTCACAGAAAAAGGGTAACTGGGAATACGATTGGGAATATGAGCCTTGAAGCTGTTCTTTTGCGATTCCTTTCGCACGCCATGCTTGCGAATAGTTTAACTTGACACCATATTCCCGTTCAATGTCAGCGACTATATCTTTGGGTCGATAATTCGGGGAATTTTTTAATTTTTCTTTTATAATATTTCCCACCCATCCTTTTGTTGCACGATACCCTGCTTTTGCAGTGACACCTGTACACGTATGCTCAGGGTTCATTTTCTTGATGCGAATCAAATGAGTTGTTTGTAGTCTTGAAACGTATATACGCCATGGACACCCTTCCGATTTACATTTCACACTCACGCGATGACTATCTGATTTTTTGTATTTGTAACGAAATCCATGGGCGATTGAGAATTTATGGAGGGCTTCACGAAACTCAGCAAAACTAGAGAATCTTTGTTCTACACCTGTTATAGTGTTTTCCCATTGTGTTGCGGCTTTATGTTGTTTTTCCCAATTTGAATTCAGAGGAAATGGAAATGGTGAGATTGCAGTTTCTATGATGGGTAGATTGAAGGAATCGGTTTCAGTTGTGTTTGTGTTTGTGTTTGGGTGGTTGTCTGTGTTGCTTGTTGTTGTGAGAATAGGGCTAGATGCAAGAACAACTGCTTCGGATGCTGTTGTCCTGCTTGATCTGTAATCTCAGTTTTGTAAGGGTATGTATAAGTGATCATCACTCGAGCAAATGCAAAAAAAAAAAAAAAAAAAAAAAAAAAACTAGTACGATTATTGTATGTTCCAAACAAGAACTATTAAGCATACTAAATGTGCAAAACTCAAAACTAACATTAACAGCTTTAAGATTATGTTATTAAAGTATATGAAAAACTTAAGCTAACAAAATTCAATTAAGCATGCTAATTAGTCCCAGAAACAGTGGTCATCTGGCTAGTTGTTTAGTGTAGTAGTAGCACCAGAGTTGTTCATATAGTAAAAAGATTTGGAATTTAAGCTTCGAAAAGGAAACATCTGAGTATCTTGCAAGAAAAAAAATGAATGAAAGAAATAACAAGTGCTAAACTACCTACTAGCAGTAGCAGGCATGTTGGAGAGATTCGGGGCTACCCTGCCACTTTCATTTGGCATGACAAAGACGTCAACTTGATCAGTGTCAGCAAAGAAGTTAATCATGCGCTTAAGATCTTTGTCTTTAGATATCATGATAAGTGTCTTTTTGTTTCCAGGGAGAAAGTATTTGATCAGCATGTTGTCAACACTGTATCCAAATGTTTCTGCTAAATCCTGTTTGAAATCAATTACTTGTGTATCTATATCAAGATCAACAGCATATGCCTCCCCACCACTGTACGACATGGAACCATCTTTTTCAGTCTGAAATTCACCTCCAGACTGGCATATAGCTATAATTTTCTTTGCTGACATTGAAATATGCAGAGGCTAATTCAACAAAAAGTTATCTGCCAAAGACAAGAAAGAAGCTTCAGCTCATACTGCAAGAAATCTATTCTATTTATCTTTGGGTGTAACAGTTTACATACGATATTAAACCTTAATATGTTAGAATGATAGTTGAAACTTTTGAGATTTGAGACTTGAGAGGCAAAAAGATTATCAATCCCAAAAGCAAAGGTGTTCAATAACAAGTTTAATCTTATTTACAGCAAATCAATCTGCACAGTGAAGGCAACTGTGGTTTTTACAATCAACAAACTGTCAGATTAGCGATAGAATTGGACATAAAACTCAATTTCATTCTCAAAAGTCTCTATATAAGTTTAGTAAGCTTTCCTAAGCATCAAGGTTAGAAGCAACCACTAAGAATGTCAGAGAAGAGAAAATTTGAAAATTGTCAACTTTGAGAGGCGAAAACGAGAACTTGGAAAAGAAAAGAGGGCACTTTAAAAATAAAAAATAAAAACAGATGATAAAAAGGGGGGAAACCGATAAAACCCATACCACAAGTTTTTGAAAAACATAACAAAGCTATTCAATTAAACCCTACATACATACTACTTATAGTGAATCGTTTATTAATCGAGATTAGAGAAAAACGTCCAGTATCCATATCAGAACACTTAATCAACAAGGAATCAAACTTGGTGCTGTTTTGGTAAATTGAAATAACCGAAACAAAAAATTAGAACAGAGAGAGGAATCACCTTAGGGTTTTCGAACTAAAATCAATCAGTCTTCAAGCGAATTATATGATACTAGTAAGAGCAGGAAAGCAAAGAGGGATTAGATGAGGGCGATTCCGTTTCAGTCGCTCAACTGAGAATCATTCTTTTGATTTTCTCTCTGTTGCCCCAACCACCCTTCTCGTTTTGCACCTTGACAACTACATTTTTCTCTTTTCTACAATTACCCACAAATCTTTTACTATTTTATAAAATAGACAAAATTGCAAAATCTTAATATGTTAATCAAAAGTTATCATTTTTGTCCAAAATGGTTTGAAGTATTAGTACCAGTAGTTTAAATTTTTATTTTGTTGTGAGTTTGGTTCAATTTGTTTTGAACTTTTTTATAATGACGATTTTTCCTTGATATTTTCTTTTTTTAGTTTTTTAACTAGTTTAATATTTTTCTTAGACAAATTTACAAAAAATTGTTCGTGTGGTATGTATTTTTTTGAAGTTTTAATCCAAACCATAATTTTTTTGGATTGGTGGTCCTTTTGAGATAGTTTTTTTACGTTTTTAGTCCCTTGGTAAATTAACATGACTTCAATGCCCTTGGGGTATCTATTTTTATTTCATTTTTCTAAAATCTTATATTCATTTATTTATTTAAAAAATTAAAAAATAAGTGGCTCTCTCTCTCTCTCTCTCTCTCTCTCTCTCTCTCTCTCTCTCTCTCTCTCTCTCTCTCTCTCTCTCTCTCCCCACACCATCAACCCAATATTTATGTGTTTTCAAGAACTCAAGAACAACCCACCACACTCCTTCTTAACACCTTTATTTCTCTCCTCTTTTTTAGATTTCAAAGAAAGATTTTTACACCTTATAGGAATCTTCAGAATCAACCGAGTCATTACCGGATATTTGTATGATAGACTTCGGTTTGGGGATCTGAGAGGGATTCAATGACATATTGATTTAAGGATATTTACACCTCCTGCTTGTTTGTGCTTCTCACAGCACCTCAACGCCTACTTTCCCCAAATCTTCGACTTTAGTGCTAACATCATTGATACCTAAATTAGCAAAAGCTTTAGCATCATCAGAATCGTTCCCATCAACTAATTTGGTCGTTTCTGAGGATAATGGGGTGACCTTATAACCATCATCGTCATCGTCGACCAATTTATCAAATAAATCTTCGTTAGTATCCTCCACCTCGTCCTCAAATGCGTTATCCCTATATGAATTGAACTCAATCTGGTCCTCAAACAGCCCCACTCCATCTTCTTCCCCGCCTAGTCTTCTTTACCATTTCTAGACTAGAAAACCTGCAACAAAGATGCAAATCCACCACCTCCACCATAAGCATCCACCAAACCCATCAAATCAATGAATCAAGATGAAAAGAGATTAGATACAAAAAAAATGAACAGAGAAGAGGGAAGCATTAAATCGAAAAGGGGTTTAACTAGAAGGGTTAGGGGAGGAGGGTTTTGATCGGACCCTGTGAGGGTTCGATTGCCTTCACGGTCTCCGATCGCCTTCTGAAACTCACTGATTCAAAGCCCATGAAATCCTTCATGGGGTGAGATACAGGGAGCGAGAAACAAAGAGGGAGAGAACTTCCAAGTCATAAATGAATTTGAATTCACTATCTTCTACCTGGGTTTTGTATGAAATTTTTTATTCGAAGTGAGTCCTGATGAAAAGCAACGAAGAGATAGATAGAGAGAAAGAGAGAGAGAGGGACCACTTATTTTTTAATTTTTTTAACAAAAAAATAAGTATAAGATTTTACAAAAATGAAACAAAAATAGAAAATAAATACCCCAAGGGCATTACAGTCATTTCAATTTACTAAGGGACCAAAAACGCACCGAAACTACCTCAAAATGACCACCAATCCAAAAAAAATCATGGTTTGGACTAAAACCCAAAAAAAAATTACATACCACAGGGACCATTTTTGCAATTTTGTCTTTTTCTTATTATAAAAAAAATTAACAAAACTGCAAAATTGGTCCCTGTGGTATTCAAAAAACTTTGGATAGGGTCCAAAAAGTTTTCAACTTGCATGGAATGTCCAAAATCAAGAATTTCCTTTGGTTTTGGTCCTAAAAAAAGTTGAAAATACGATTTTACCCCTTATTATTTCTTTTTACATTTTTTGTATTTGTTTAGTATTTAAATATATATAAAAAAAATCTCATCCCCTTAAATAATTATAAAAAAGAAAAAAACCACTTACCCCTCCTTACCCGTAACCTCCCTTCTCACTTTCACTCTCATTTACTCTCCTACCTCTTTCTCCATATCAGTTTTCTTTTTTCCATGTTATTGCAATTGTTGGTGGTGGTGTTGGGTTGTGACATGGAAGGGTGAAGACAACTGGAAATTGATATGACATCAACTATGTAATGTCTCGATTTCTTGATGAAGAGCTTGTAGTATCTCCTTCTCTGCCTCTTCCCCTGTATTTGTATTTCCATGTGATGAAGGTAAGACCATCAGTTTCAGTTCATATATTTTGATGAAAGATGGTGGTGGTGATATAGCTCTCTAGCGAGTTAATTACTATCCGCGAACAATCAGAGGGATTTCAAGGCCCTATTTTAGGGTTTCCAAGGTTCGATTTCAGGGGTTTCATCATTTCCATCTCCTTTTTTGCTGAATCATCTCTTTAATCTGAAACACAAATTAAAAACAAATCTCTTTAATCTGGTACACACAAGTTCGTGAAATTAGGAATTCATGAATGAAGCTAAATGTACAGGTGATAAATTAGGAAAAATAAACAAGAACCAACTCCTGATATATGAGCTCTTAGGTGTCTAGTAAGGAAAATCACCATAAACCAGTTTGGAATTGCTACAACATCAGAGATCTTTTGATGAAAATTGTCATCGGAGATAATGATCAGAACAGATGTTAAATGGTGGGTTTATGGTGGTGTTTTGTTGTGATTGGATATTGATGATGGGGTAATCAATGGTGTATGATGTAGGGTTCCGGCAAGCATATGGTGGCGGTGATGGTGGTTGAATGACGTCCGTGCGAGAGAGAGAGAGAGAGAGAGAGAGAGAGAGAGAGACAGAGAGAGATAGAGGGAGAGAGAGAGAAAGACAGAGGGGGGAGAGTGCGAGAGAGAGAGAGAGAGGAGTAGGAGTAGGTGTAGGAGGAGGAGGGTTGGGTGAGATTTTAGTTTTGTTTTTATTTTTCATTATTTATATATCAAAATAAATAAAGAAAATAGAGAAATGAAATGAAAAGGGTAAAATCATCTTTTTAAGTATATCAAGGACCAAAAACCCAGAAAAACTTTGATTTTGGACCTTCCATGCAAGTTGAAAACCTTTTGGACCCCATCCAAAAGTTTTTTGAATACCATAGGGACCAATTTTATAGTTTTGTGAAAAAAATTTTAACCCTCAACCCACCATCTCACTTTTAACATACTAACTCTCTCTATATCCTCTCTTTTCATTAGCTGTCGGATCACCACCATTTTATCCGAAGCACCGTCTTCCTACCACTAAAACCACCTCTGATGCTAGAGCACCACTATTGGTGCCACCCATTTAGACGTCGCCCTTTGTCTTCTTCATTTTCGCTATATGTGTTTATCCGAACAAGCTTCAATAACAACAATAGGAGAGCGAGAAGGGACCGGGAGGAAGGAGTGATAAACCCTTATCGGACCACCACTATATGCAACTGACACCACCATCTCCTTGCCACCGCTTCTTCCCTAGCAACGATAGTGGTTGAACCCAAAGGTCCTCTCATGGAGAATTGTCGGTCGTCCAGAATTAATGTTATCATGCCCGCACTCTAACTTTGTTGATGAACTATTCCTACTACTTGACCATAGGTCTTCCAATCCATACCCCTGAACTGAATCCACCAAAGGAGCCAAAACAAACCACCAAACCACGCCCAGCAAGATATGACCCACCGATAACTCTTGGCATGCAAAATGGTATATGAGTATTCACAATACATAAATCAGAAAAAACAGAGAACTAAACAAAAGATACTACCTACCAATACCCAAAAAGATTCCAAGGAAGATACAACACCGATCAAGAACAATTTCGCCACAACATCAATGCAGAATTGGGGTTCAAATTGCATACCAGAGATTTATTGTGGCTCGACCTTGACCTCCAGAGGAACGATGAACGTTGGTACCTGAACTCCCTCCGCATCCAAAGTAGGACAACTGGACTTGAAATGACCTAGCTGGTTACAGTGAAAGCATGTCTGTTCCCTCTTATAATTCCGTTACACATGCCCTCTTTCCCCACACTTGAAACACCTGAACCTGTGATAAGCAAATCTATGAGTTCCCCCACACCTGCTACACACCTCATGATTATCCTGACTTTCAGTACACAGGTCAGCAACCTCAGTCTCCTCGTCCTCTTCTAAAAGAGCTCTCTTCCTCTTTCCTAGTTGTGTCCCCACAACCAAATCTCCCCCATTATCCATCTCATTAGCAGAACCTCTCACAAACTGCAAAGTTGCAACTTGCTCCTCGATCCTGGTATTTACCCTACTAGCAACCCGATCTACGACACCGGACAATTCTTTTTCAAAATCTGAAAAACCTCCACGGCAATCACCTCCTGAATCTGATCAATGAACAACACCGGCCTATTCCGGCCACTAGCTCCCGATCCTAATCCGGATCCTGCCTCTAATCATCTCATCATCACCATATTGAACATAGACCATGGATATATCAGATGAAATGCATATCATACCAGGGGATCCAACTCCCAACAGAGCCCTAAGGGTTGTGAGTTCCCTGACACGCGTACAGATCCAGTGCTTTCAGTAGTACGGGCCCATACTACCCCTACACCTACCCCTATTTTCTTTGGTTATCATCACAACAACCCTAACAATACATTGAACCCTATCATATACATGCGCTCCATCCTCACTTCCTAAAAGAACATTAAACATAACACAACTGGCCGTCTAACCCTACACAACTCAACCTACCACTAACTGCCACACGACCCTCCATTGATGCCAGATAACTATCGCGTGAATACAATCACATGTTGCACAGCTTAAGCAATCTTATACTAAAATATTCAATCGTACGATAGTTGGACTCAGACAAGAGTTGCGCAACATGACCAAATCCCATATCCTAAGATCATTTAAACCATGTAGCATTTGACTTAGCATATTCACTCAATAGTCAGTTCACACGCGAAAGAGTCATACAACAATCAATCAAGTATTCTACAAGAGACAAGGCATCATATGTCAGGTAATTCTATCATACAGTTCCTAAAGAATCCTTATCCTATTACTAGCATGTTCTTCTAATATATCATAACATAATCTTAATTAACTGTGTGGAAATTTGGGGTCTACTTACTGGCTCCGGCTGATCATACACATCGCGTCCTCCATGATTATTTTGAAAACCATTCGAAAAGTACCAACACACTAACGACTAACACATATACAAAAAAAACATGCATACAGAGCCTTTAACATGACTAGATCGCCTTATAGGCCTTCAACTTATCTGGACCGCTTACAGGACCTTCAGCATGACTGGACTACCGCACCAGGCCTTCAGCCTATATGGACCGTCCTCCGGGCCTTCGGCCTAGCTGGACTGCCTCGGAGGGCCTACAATTTATCTGATCCTCTTTGGGTGTCTTGGACTTCAGCAAAAAGCAGGACCGTATCAAGCCAACCAACCATCACCATATCAACATATAACATAATCAACTACAACTAGTATATACCGGCAAACATACAGATATAACAGATCACTACAGCATAGCAACATCCTATCTACCAAGATACAGATCTAACAAATCACTACAGCACACAATCATACGATAAACCAAGATAATAATCCAAAGGGTCGGCCTTCGTGCCTTAGACCTGTAAGTACAGTGTGGAAAACTCAGCATGATCCAAACCTAGGCCCAAACCAACAATCTAAAGTCCCAAAGTCTAATTAAACATCCTAGAACCATACATGGCCTAGTTTTCCAAATTGAGCCCAAAACCCTACATCAGCCTTACCCTAAGGCCCACTAATTTTCCCTACTCCAAAATCTTACATTCAGGTGGCCCAACAAGGCCCCAAGCCACTAAGACCAAAGAATAGCCCAAATACGAAGCCCAAACATGTGAAGTCCACCAGACTGAGTACACAAAGCGTACTTAGCACGTACGCGTAGCGTAGTCGCTTGAGGGCTTATGCGCTAAGCGTACCTACTTGTACGCCCAACATACTCACCCATTCAGTCTAGAACTTGATTTCAACACTTAACCCCTTAAGACATAGCTCCAAAACATAGATCTGACTTCCTTGAGCTGGATTATCATGTAAAGTTGCTAACTTTACATTCATGCATGGCTAAATGAAGCTCTTAAGCTTAAAGAGGAATTAACAAGTGACTTAATGCATGCATGTGACCAAAAACCCCATAAAGCTTGCACCTTTATGCTCAAGGAGTCCAGAACAAGCTCATATCTAAAGGAACAAGCCCTTAAAACATCTTAACTCTTCAATCAACCTAAAATGGGACTAAAAGCATAACCAAAAAAACTATGAGGAGATCTAAACATCTACCACCCCAAGGTATGAACTTGATACCTCAAGGATATTGCAACAAGTGAGATGATTATGGGTCTATGACCTTCCTTCCAAGCCACTAAGACCAAAGAATAGCCCAAATACGAAGCCCAAACATACGAAGTCCACCAAACTGAGTACACAAGGCGTACTTAGCACGTACGCGTAGCGTAGTCGCTTGAGGGCTTATGCGCTAAGTGTACCTACTTGTATGCCCAACATACTCACCCATTCATCCCAGAACTTGATTTCAACACTTAATCCCTTAAGACATAGCTCCAAAACATAGATCTGACTTCCTTGAGCTGGATTATCATGTAAAGTTGCTAACTTTACATTCATGCATGGCTAAATGAAGCTCTTAAGCTTAAAGAGGAATTAACAAGTGAGTTAATGCATGCATGTGACCAAAAATCCCATAAAGCTTGCCCCTTTATGCTCAAGGAGTCCAGAACAAGCTCATATCTAAGAAATAAGCCCTTAAAGCGTCTTAACTCTTCAATCAACCTAAAATGGGACTAAAAGCATAACAAAAAAAACTATGAGGAGATCTAAACATCTACAACCCAAGGTATGAACTTGATACCTCAAGGATATTGCAACAAGTGAGATGATTTTGGGTCTATGACCTTCCTTCCAAGCAAAGCACCTTAAATCGTCAAAGCTTCCTTCACAATGAGTAAAATACCCACTAAGATCCTATCAAGGGCTCAAGAACACCACCAAGAAAGCTTAAGGGGTTATTTAGGGTTTTAGGAGGTTTGGGGCTAGTAAAGAGGCCAACCCTAGGGTCTTAAGATGTTTATATAGGGTACCACACACTTAAATTAGGGTTTCTTGAACTCCTCATACACCCAACGTACGAGGTCAAATCTTCACGACCACATTGCTAACTACGCTTAACGTACGCCAAGGTATGCCTCGCGTAAGGGTCCTCACACGAGTACGGCCTGCTTACTCCCCATGTACGCCCCACGTACTAGGGTTTTTCCCCAAAACCCATAATTCTTCCGAAGGCCATAACTTCTTCATTATAAATCCGATTCCGGTGATTCTTATATCCATGAAAAGGTAGCGATAAGCTCTATGCTTTTATCATCTCATAATCACCTTAAAATTTCCCGAACAAAAATCCAATTTCCATAAAGTCTTGAGTTGACATTTTACCAAAATACCCCTTGGATTCAAAATACAAATTAAGCCTGCGGATCATCTAAATTTACATCACCCACATCCAAAAGGTCCATATCTCATTTCCTTGAATATTCTAAGCCTGATAATACCCGATCTTTGGCCACCATCCTAAAATAGGAAACGATTCAAAACAGAGTGTTACAGTGGTAATCAGTCTTTAGCTTACTTTTTATTTAGTTAAAAACAACTTTAATATTTTGGGCATGTAATACAATGTTTCACTTTTTATGAGGTTGGTAGATAACCCCTTTTTTCTGTCCCTGGTTGTTTTATACTTTTCTGTTTGCATGGTTAAATTGTGTAGTTGTAGCAACATGATTTCTGAGGATCCTTGCATAATCAAGATCCTATAAAGATTCTACCTTATAAGAACTCTGAATAACTTGTGTTAAGAATGATTTATACTTAGACCGATAGATTATTTAACAAATAACTGAAAGCAAAGAAACAAATGAACACACAATGGAATCAAACAGTGTCGAATGATTAATATGCTCCACCTCATATGAGCTCGATAAAGAACTACAATTGTAGAGGCGTGCTAGGGTTTGAATACGATTAACCAAAAGTGATTTCCAAAAAACCTTAACAATAATAATGCATGCATGCATTATATATACTAAACCCTAATAACAAAACACGACTGGATAGGCCCAGACCGAGTAAACAAATGGACCTAAGAGCTAAGCCCAATGACGTAACCTCTTAGTCTCAACAATCTCCCCCTTTGCATCGATTGAGGCGAGAGATCATGTTGGTTAAGCGAGAGTGGATTTCTTCACAGTCTTGAATATCTTTGGTATGATGGCAAGAAGAGTTTGGTGAAAAGTAATGTACCACCAAAGCATATACGTAAAGTTCTTCTTATCATTTTCACTGTTCTGTTTGCACCTGTGTATAATATCAATAATATGCTCCAAACAAGAAGTGGAAAAAAGGTTCTTATCATCGAGAGCAAACCCAAATTTTTGAGCTTTGCCTCAAGAGAACATGACAATGTGATACTTTGAATCAATTTTTCCTAACCACATTCTATTCATATCGCCCATCTTCCCAGTCAGTTTGATAGTGGGCTTCTTCCTGAAGACGCTTGCAATCTCTTGATCCACCTTTGCAACCTCATGAATGTAATAGGCTAACATTCGCTTGATATGGTCAATAATGGGCTCATACTGCAGTTGATCAGATATCAGAATGTTGTTGAGAAGGATCCAATCATGTGGATTCAGATTCAGTAGATCGGCCAAAGAGATCACATGGACTGAATTGTCAGATCCTCGGGTCACCCTGAATTTGACATTTATAAATGACCCTCCAGGAGTTGGTTTCAATACCTTGACTGACGTGATCTTCTGTGCGCTCCAAGTCAAGTATTGTGGTTGAGAGAATTCAAGATAGTATTTAATCAAATCTCGATCAACCTTCGGGTCAGGAGAAGGAACATTGGCTATTGGATCGAAACAGTGAAACACAAATGCCTTACGCATGATAGGCATATCAAATTGAGAATATTTGGTATTCTCACAGTCAAAAGAAACGACTGGTTTAAGCCAATGAGAGCTGGGAGAGTCGATTGCTTCTTTGATTAATTTCTCTAATGTCCAGAGTGGAAAGAGAGCTTGTCTACAAAACAAAGTGTCATGAACTTCTTTCTCTCTTCTCTCCCTTTCTTCTTCTG